CAAGTACTCCTGTTCTCTTTTTGCGGATACAGACTAACACGGCTGCTACTCTGAAACCTGTCAGAGAGCCCTCTGGCCCTGCTCGGTCCAGACCACCTCGTCTGGCTTACCCCTCTCACCTAGCTCAGGGATGGGGGCAGCTAGGGATCTAACGTGGGGTACAAACCTCTGGTAGCACCCCACCATCCCGATAAAGGCCTGGACTTGTTTCTTGATCTGGGGAATGGGCCAATCTCTGATCATCTCCACCTTGCACTTCTTGGCTTTTACCGTCAGTCCTGCCTCCTTGAGGCAGCCCAGCCCCCTCGTCACCTGGGTCTGGCTAAAGACACACATGTCATCGACGTACGCCAGGGCCAAGTTCTCCATCCCCCTCAGCTTGTCTAGAATCTCCCCAGGCCTAGGCGTGGGGCAGGCATCGCACACGGTGATGGCTTTAAGCTTCCAATAGTCCCCACAAAACCAGATCATCCCGTCTTCCTTGGGGACCAGCCCCACGGGTGAGGCCCACGGGCTATTGAACGGCTGGATCACATCTAAAGCCAGCATGTCCTTGACCCCTCTCCAGGCTCTGGGCTGCTTTCCCAGTGACTCTGAACGGGGAAGATTGGCTCCCACCTCAGGGAAGAGATCCACCAGGGGGTCTTCCCCCTTCTCCTCCCAATCCTCCCTTTCCAGGTCCAGGGGTCCCCTCACTCTCCTCCCATACAGCAGCTCGAAAGGGAAGAACCGTGTGGGTACAGGTGCACATATGTGGGGGGGAGTTAAGGGTACAGGCACATGCACAGGGGAGAGTTAAGGGTACAGGCGCACACACTGGAAGGGAGCAGGTTAAGGGTACAGGCACATGCACAGGGGGAGAGTTAAGGATACAGGCACATGCACAGGGGAGAGTTAAGGGTACAGGCGCACACACCCAGGGGCAGTGAGTTAAGGGTACTGGCGCACACACCCTGGGGCGATGAGTTAAGGGTACAGGCACATGCACAGGGGAGAGTTAAGGGTACAGGCGCACACACTGGAAGGGGGCAGGTTAAGGGTTCAGGCACATGCACAGGGGAGAGTTAAGGATACAGGCACATGCACAGGGGAGAGTTAAGGGTACAGGCGCACACACTGGAAGGGGGCAGGTTAAGCGTACAGGCACATGCACAGGGGGCTCACTAAGGGGGAAGTCGCTCCCTCACCAACGGTGCTGCAGTATTTTGCCAGGCGAAGGACCGACGAGGTCCTGGGTGCGAAGCCACCGTCAATGGGCCGGGGCCATAGGACGTAGTTTGTAGCCCCTCCTGCTGCAGCCAGACCCTCGGGGGGGCAGTTAAGTGGTGACATTACTATAGATGGGGTTCGGGGGGGGGCTCCCGACTGGCTGCTCTATTGGTCCCTTCTGGCCTTCTCTATGGGGAGGAGGCAGAGGGGTTGGGGGGGCTCTACCTGCCCCCCCCTCCTGTGCAGCTTGGGCAGACACACGTGGCCCCAGGGACGATCACCCATTTCGGGGGG